TAGGACCATCATCTGTATTTTCAGTCAATATCGAGTTTATGCTCTTTGGAATATCTGGAACAAGATGAAATTGCAGATTAATCGTGGTAAATATTCACAATACGCCTACGCTCCAAATATAGAAATTTCGCATGATTAGATCCAGTAGGAAAGGAGTTACGACTGAAAAGTATGGCTGAAGAATCATTTCACCGAAGACTTTTGAGCGCTACTGTATGTAGATATACAGCGGTATTCTACCGAAGTTATGATTGCTCCTGATTTCTTGTGATTGTGATATATGTATTAGTTTCCAGTTCTTTCTCCATTCTCTTCAAAGGCTGTGCAGAACAAGAACAAGAGCTATGTACATGTCTCATCCTAAACAAAAATAAAATCGATCCTGGATCGAATATGATTGAGAAAGGCCTCGAAATCGTTCTTCAAGATTAAACAGAATCGTCCAAACAGTAAAGCATGATAAGCCGAGTATGGAGTAAGTAAGCAGGAATAAAGGGAACAGGCGCCATAGCAATGATCGCTCTGAAGCTAGGTAATGACGCGACGACCTCAGGTATGCCCTACTCATCCCTTCCTTGAACGAGCATCAAATTGAATGCAATCTATAAGGCAAAATTCTCTGCGAGCTCTGCTCTACTTCCTCTCTGCAAATTGTTTACTTCGTGCCTTTTCTTTCTCCCCCTATTGTTAAAGGGTAAAGAAGACGTTTCCGATGTCAATCAATCCCGTCCGATTTTGAGGGATGCGTTCCCGCATTCCAATTCCATTCAGAATCACAGTGGCTTTGTGAATGGGTATGTGGCATATGTAATGGCTTACGGTGCCGAGCCGATGTACAAGTTAGCGCGTTAATCCTCCCAGTCGAGTCTGGGACCAAACTATCAACCCCAGAAGGAGGAAACGTTCGGTTTGTCTGAGCACATATTGAACCGGAACTTTATTCCCGAAACGTGGGTGCTATAGCGTGCCGCTTGCCACAACACCTCCGTCTCAGTGATATAACTACAAAATTAATCTTGCAAATGAGGCAAAGGTTTGTAAGCACCTCTGACCGTTTCCCATGTTTACTCTAACTCGTCCATCGTTCACCGCTAACTTCCACATAAGTTACCTTAGATTGCAAAAATTGATCAGGAGCGTCATCGATTACGGTCACTTTTGTATAGGTCCTTCTTCTCTTTTCATTCATTCCTCCTCTCTCCCTTCTTTTCCCTCTACACCTCTCTCCCTGTGAGATCTGTAAGTTTACACTTGGAACAGCGACGACACTTTGAATTGTATTCGCTTGAATCTTCTCTATTGCAAACACTGACGCGGACAAATCGTCTAAACAGCTTTCAGGATAGTCTTCACACATGAGCTGAGCTTCATCTATAGTACTTAGCATTGCATAAAGTTTAAAGTACAAAGTTTTTGGCATAATCAATCCCGTCTGAGGGATGCGCCCCGCATTCGACTCCCATTCAGAATCGTAGTGGCGTAATGAGTGCGTATGTGGCCTATACAATGACTTGCGGTGGCCTGCCGATGTACAAGTCAGTGCTTTTATTCTCCGAGACGAGTCTGGTACCAATTTACTCCAGAGTGATGGGAGACTTAGTTGGCCTAGGCGGATATCGATACGGGATTTGAACCCCTGATCGTGCGTGTGAGATAGTGCGCCACTTGCCACTACACCTCCTCCGCCCACTACTTGGTATTGTATTGGCGAATATTTATTTATCAATTGTCAATACTACTAGACGCTTTCGATGTGCTTGTCAACATGAGCTCCGGGAAGTGGTGATCAGTTCACCAACAAGTCAGTCATCGCTAATAGGTTGAATATCTATCCGTGACAGAGCCAGCACCCCATCTTCTTTCCCTTATTCTTGAAGATTCCCTCATTTTCTCAGCCGAAGGTGACTGATCAGTGTGTCCTGAATCCATCGGAAGGCTGCAGGGATAGAGAACCCGATTTATTGCGACATCTTTATTCGGTTCACTCAGTTGTTCACACTGCGCCCATAAATAGACAAAATATGTATGTATGCATTAGAGGAAACCCGAGAAGGCAAATCACACGGTCAAATAAATTTCTCAATTTAAAAACAATCATCAATCGCAAAGACCTTTCGAAAAACCGATAATGAGGAAACTGGTCCATTGTTCGGACTTCACTGCTTAGGTAATGAAAATATCATAGAAACATGGGGCGATCTCCAAGGTAACACACTTTAAGCACACATAGTGATACACTATGTGCACATTAGAACTCCAAGAAAAATATTTGAAGGAAAAAAAGCGTACTGACAATGAGAGGAGGAGAATATTCTTCATTCACGGCACCAACAATAAAATAAGCCGAATTAGGGTGACCCGTAGACAAGGCTGGACGGTTTGGCTAAGAGACACAATGGCAAAGACAAAATTTAGGGATATATCTATCTATACATGTATGATTAGAAGTGTATCGACATGAAATCACCCAGCCACCGAGCTGATAAGCATTTCTCCTTGCCGGGACCAATCACAAAAGATGTAATGACGCAACAGCATACGGTATTTCTCAGAGAACAGCATGTACACGCATATGTTGCACGAGGCATTCACCATAACCTGGAAGCGTTGGAATTTGATGGGCAAGAAAACAACGGGACCAGTAACATAAATAAATCATCAGCAACAGACTCTGTACACAATGGCCGTCAGGTGTTGTAGGTTTTCTACAACTAGACAACAGTCTTCTAGCAACTAACAGAGCCTCATTGATATAATGAAGGCACAGTTCACGATAAATTTGGGGTATCTGGTTTCAGAAAAGTAATGGATGTGATGATTAAGAATAGCGCCAGAAGCAGAAGTGGAGAAGAAACGAGGATATCGGTTTATTTAGAGAAATATAAAGTTCAAAAAAAAAAAAGTAAAATCAGGGGTGGACGAGAATGTGACGGCAGAAGCTGCATGGAAGGAGTATTCGGACGAGCTGTCCAAATGTACGCCTCATTGCGTACAGCTAGCGGCAGTAAGCTGCCTGCGTTCAAAGTGTGGGTCCCGGTTTGAATGGTGCAACCTCTACAGCTTCACATTCCTCAAGAGCTCTCCGCATCAGGTGTGCATTTCGGCTAAACCGATTTTAGGGTCCTTACCAGGCCTTATCTTGACCGTTTTTCGTCCCGACAACGTCCCCTAGGATATCCTTGAAGGTCACAGAAGGACACAGATTTATTCTAGGTGGAAAACTCGGAAATCATTTCAACGTGAACCGTGCCTTTAATATACTTTGAAGTCTTCGAAAAGAATTTGTCAAGAATACACTGAAAAAGCATAGACAACATGTATGAAAAGAGTATGTGATCAAATATGTTGAAACAAAGGAAAACAAGAAAGTCACTCACTAGTAGATTGTTGAAGGTCACCATGCTTTGATAAACTGGTCCTACCTGAAATTACTCAGAATCTACTTAAAATCAAAGGCTTTCCCTTCTTGAGAATATTTGGCAGGCTCGCAAACAAGTTGCCAAAGTTTTGTTTCAAACGATCTCAGAATAACAAGTTCTCAAGAAAATCTCAAGAAACCAGCAATGGAACGAAATTTGACTTGATATTTTCTTTGGAAATTGCTGCAGCTCATTCGGGCTCATGGTAACATCAAGAATGGTCTCAATTTAAAAGCCTAGCTCACCTCGTCTAAATTTTCCATGATATTACACACGAAAGCTAGCGTATTACATGAAATAAAGAGGAATACGATAGCGATGAGCATGATCGATGTCTGCCGCTCTTTTCGTTCGGCTTTCTTCGAAAATTCATCATTCTCCGCTCCGCACTAAAAATAGAAAAGCCTCACTTAATTGGCCAAAACTCCGCTCATGTTGCACAGTATGTACGTGGGACTGGAACTCATCATCTTTCCCTAACAGAGCTGTAGCTCTCTATTTGTAAAATACGAACCAATGCATTCAGTTATCGCTGGGTCGCGGTTTTTGCATTTAGGCGTCTTTTTATGAGCTTGTCGAACCCTTCCCATATTAATGCGTAGGAAATTTCATTGGCTATCGACATGTCGTAAAGCGTAGACGTCCCAACAATGCGACAACAAAAACGGTAAACATTTCTGTCAGCAAGAGGAGCCAAGTACCAGACACTTCATGGGCTCTGCTATCATTTAATGACATCAGCCGGAATTCACCGGTATTGTAGTTTTGAGAGTGAGCGTAGGTGGAGCAACTGGCCGCTGTACCCAAGGTCTCCTCAATCAAACTCCATCTGAGGCGATTTGGGACCTTCTGCTTCTCCATAGATAAATCACCAATCAGATTTTCGTAGATCTCAATTAGTCATGATATGAGCTGATGAGATAAGCGCATTCATTGCCTTCCGATGCGGAGACTAGTCGAAGATGGAGAGCATGTTCTCAGTCAAAATCGAGCGAACAACTTTTCGTCATGACCCTCTGCTTTTGCGTTTCGTTGCTGTGTGATGAACTCGGTTGAATGGCCACCAAACCAAACCCCTGTTCTGTTAATAGCCTTCTCCTGGATAACCCACCAGCTCGGCGCCTGACGTAGGAGATTTAGTCAGTCGCTAAGCACCTGCAGAAACGGAACAAATTGAACTTCTGCACAACAGGAAATAGGCAACCTCCATAGCACCTGTGTAATCATATGTTCTGGAGAAAAGTTGCAAGCTTGATAGGTGATCTTTGGGCAGATGCAGATTCTGTCTCGACTGCTAGTTCCTCATTTTCGCTAAAATTCCTTATCACGAGAAAAATACAATCATACTGATTAGCGGTTACTTGGGACGAGTATTTGGAAGGTCTAAGAGACATTGCTGTGTTTTCTCACTCGGCATTGTCTTGAGAGAAAAGCCCCAGAGCATTACTATGAATTTAGTTCCAGGAAAAGAAAACACACTGGTCATAATTTTTTTTGTTGTATCTACCAAAATTCATAAGTACCGGCAAGTGGCCCCGGTTTTGCAGATAACCCTCCGAAAATCAAACGACAGGAGGATCGACATACATACGGTGCTGTAGCAGGAATGAGGGTACGATACCGATTGCACAGTTCCAAGGTGAAGGCAACAGCGAGTGTTCACGAGAACGCGTATCTGATTGGATGTGCTCAACGATCAGCAAATAAGAAGGGGCGCGCAGTTGATAACGATAGATCGTAAAAAGACAGCTGTTACAGGACTTCAGTTAAGAGTAAAATTGAAAAGTGTGAGGCAACACTGGCTTTATATTGGAATAGGTTTGGTGCCTAGAAGTAGGAACTCAGTAGAAAGCCTTCATCCTGCCGTTCACTCGCTCATCTTATACGACCAATAGTGAAACACATCTCCGCGACTTCCTGGCGGCTTCCTTCGCTCCGTTGACATACTAGTAATCACCTGTATTTCTACGATAAAGCGCTTCAATACCCAAAGCCTATCGCAGAATTGAGGCAAAGCAGGATAAATTCATGGTAGTATTTGAGATCCACAATTCCCACTAGTACGTTTTTGTTGATGGTGAAGAGTAGAATGGAGATCTAGTGGGGATAGGCTACCGTACAGCTTCGCACAGCAGGGAGCAGGCAATCAGCCCCGGTCCTATTCAAATTTCGGGAGCCGAATTGAGAAAAAAGGAAGCAAAATGTTATGTGGAGAGCTGTTCTTGACAGCTCAGCACATGGTTGTGGCACAAAGTAAACACCCTCGTGTCATGACAGAAGTTGTTCAACCAGACGGATACAAGAAAGATTTGTTGGATCTTACCTGACTGACCATATGCATTCGACGACTGCGTCTTACCGCCGAAAGAACCAGCGAATTGACAACGATTAACAGACTGAATGGCACCACATACATCACTATTGTATATGCCCATCCGAAAAAGATATTCCTGAAATTATTCATTCATTACACGTTACTAGAGGACAGACTGGAGTCACTCCAACATTCACCACTGGAAAATGGATGATTTCTTCATAAGGGAAGTTTGTTTGAAAGTACAAATTCGATATGAGGTTCATGTATCGTCCGAAATGTCACGGATGCACCTATGGTCCTTCTGGAACCACATAAATGAATACCTGTACAAGTCTGAGAGACGAAGTGCTGTCGGTTGCAATGACGGCATATAGTAGTTAATGTTCAGGCGATAGCATACATTAGAAACGTGGACCTGGAATTTGCTAGTTGGGGATTGAGAAAAGCGATTTTCAGAACCACTATGATGACTAAAAAGGTTAGTGAAGGGCTCGACGTAGACGAGTGACTTGATATTTTGTTAACTGCTGTTATTTCGCCGCACTTCGCGTTCCAAAAATCTCAGAAGGTTGGCGATTTACGGACAGAACTTCCGTCTCGGACGGGACTCGAACCCGTACTTGTGCTTTCCGGGCACCGTGCTCTAACCCTTACACTACCGAGTTCTCTTTCAGACAGTCAGTGTCGGCTAAAATTACAAGCCTGCGATTCTTCCCCAAGGTTCGGGTGATACCTTCGTATTTCAAAGGGATACGAAGGTATCATTGGAACCATATGGATGATTGTTCGCTTATTGGAATCCGTGAAGGCTGCAATTCAATTCGGAATTCTTTAACGGCAATTCAAGAAACCACAGCGAAACCACTAAGAACTCTCTCAGGGTTCTTCACGCATTGTTAATTCATTGAAGGCAAAAACACTGTCCACTTCAACTCTTTGGAATATATAAAAACATTGATGCCAATTGAAACTCGAAGAAATTTATTTTCGTGAAAGCATAGCTTTTCTGTGTCGCTAACTGGCAGATACCTCCCTGACGAGCAAGCTTTTTCTCGATGGTACCGGATGTCTGCTGAGCTCGTCATCCTGGGGTCACACTGACAAAACAAGGAATCGGGATTTTCCCTGATTTAAATGCCAGATGATCCTTTACAAAGATAAGGTTACCCATGTGACCGCTACCGACCCAGATACTCCAGCGCATAAAATGGTACGCATGAAATCTTGACCATGACCTACGTCTTTAGCAAATTCAGCATTTCTCACATATCAATTCTTACTGGTAAAGGCAACGCAGTCTCTGGTAGTCTTTCGTTGCCGAGTCTGTCCTAGCAGTTCTTTTCGTTCCACATCATTATTTCGACTTGTTGTCACTACCGGTCTACCGAATATATGGAACAGATGGCCCAACAGAGCGTGGACTATGTGAAATTTGGCAAACAGCTCAGACAGAACTACTGCTCTTGTGAAATCGAATAGAAGCCTGATGAGCGGAACTTCTCACAGAAGCCTATTAGCTTCACGAATTTCTTTTTGATGACACTGATAAAGATGGGAGAGGTACGCTTTTCATAACGGCTCATTCTAAGAATGAAGGAAACGGTGACCGCGAAGCTGAGGGCGCCAGTAGAAAAAACCAAAAAAAAAAAANAAAAAAAAACGATGAGCTCAACCTAGACGAGTGCATTGTCTCTGCACGAGTCATCCTCATTAGGCAGAATACTGTCTGAATGAGAGTCACACGAGCAAGTAGAGTTCCAGAGGCACTTCAGTGAAAAAAATCTCTATAGTTTCACCCAATGTCTTTCGCTAAGGCTATAAATGGGAACTGTGCAGTGTGTTTGTAAATTTTCTTTGAGGGGGATTAAGGGATCCGTGTGTTGATTACAGACTAAATACCAGTATACGCGGCTCGACTAATGAATAGCGATGGATGTTGTTCAAGACATACCCATTACAGCGATAAATTTTTCATGAAGAATGTGCTTACTATACATGATTACTGCTTACTAACCTCAAAAAAGCGTGTAGTATTGAACAGGATACTGAACACGACGAGACTGATGATGAATTTGGTGACACGTTTCTTTGGAAGCCATTCAACTGACTTGTACGGATGGCATACGCCGATATAACGATGCACCGAAACTCCGACGGTCATGAATACACTGAACATTCCGGAATCAGTTCGCATTGATGGCCTACAACAAATGAAAAGAACGCACCTGATGGTTTGAGCCATCATCATCAGGCCATACATGTAAGGTGCAACCGAATAACTGTAAAATGCATATTAGCGAATAAAAATAAGAAATCCGACGACGTTCCTTTTTGGAAACAACTTAGTGTTGTTAAGTAAATTCTCAGAGTTCATTTCAAAGCTCCTAGTGTTAACTTCTCTGCATCGACCCAGCTAACAGAGCGCTGAGATTGAACTTCGTTAACGGCACAGCTCACGATAATTTTGTGATATCGAGTTTCAGAAGAAAAAATGGAAGTGACAGTACAGAATAATGCAAAAAAGAAAAAAGGAAACACGAAATTCTGGGTATTTAGAGAAATATAAGGCTTTAAAAAAGTAAAATTAGGGGTTCAACGAGATTTAGACGACAGAATTTGTATGGAAGGGATATTTGGCCAAGCTGTCCCAATGGTGTGCCATTGTGTACAGCTGGCTACAGTAAGCTGCATGCGTACATGGTATACGTCCCAGTGCAACCTCTACTCACTCGCCTTCAAATGTGTACGTCGGCTAAACCGTTTTTGGGGCCTTTGTAACGCCCTATCTATCCTTGGTGGTCACAGGTCCATCCAAGGGAGAACTCTTAAAAGACATTCTTTTTGTGAAATATGCCCTTAACTGTGTTAAAAAAAACACTGCAGGGAATCTCTGTTCTATTCAGACAAAGCCAGCCAAAGGGCATTTGAAAAGAAGAAAAAAGACAACTGAAGTTTGAAGGCTTTATTTTTAGATTTTCTTCGAAGTTCCTTTTCAGGCGATTCTTTTCGAGCTCCACATAGTCAACTAACAATTTGAATGAGGTCTTCGGAACTGAAGCACCCTTTAGAGACCGACTTGAACATGTAGTACTTTCGATTCAAGAGCTCCTAAAGCGAAGCAGTGTGTACTTGCGCTGTTTTTCGGCAAAAGCACTGAAGAAAAGGTCGGCAATCTTGTCTTCAACGCATTCCATCCTGAGACAGTCCAGAATGGTTGTCCTTTGGAAAAAGGATTACCCTGGAACCCCTTTGGTGCAACACCGTCCGCTTCACTCACGTTATCGCTTTCAGACATTTGAAGAGGGGNGCCTCCATAGCTGTTACAGCCACAAACAAGTCGCAAGGCTCTGGTTATGGGACCAAAAGCTCATTGTAAAGCAGGATGGTGTGCGTTAAAGGACGTATGAATGAGGAGGTACGTAGGTAAGATCTTGCAAACTTGAGAAGCAAAGAAGTTAAAAGCTCTTCGTGCTAATGAGATTACGCCTACGAGATTTTCTGCCAAGCATTCCTAGTCACCACACTGCAGTAGGCTGTTTACTCAATTTCAATAAAGTAATGTGTTGTCTGGAGGCCAGAACTTGTCCTAACGCCTGCATCCCATTATGAACCCTCCCACAACAACGGGAAAACATTTGAAAAATGTGTTTGTGAATTACCACCATTTTTCGCATTTTTCGTCTCTGACGCACCACTAATCATCTTGGGTTCCCGGTTGTTATTGCGGAATGACTTTCGCAAAAGATAATTAGCAAAATTGTTCACTATCGCTCGGAATTTCGTGTGGTGAGGCAAGACGTATTTTAGATGCAACCTAGCTCCGTATAGACCTATATGAATGACCAAGAATTGTAAGAGGGAGAATAATCGAATTGTGTCGCACCACAAGTACGAACGTCCTGAACTTCCTGAACAGAAAATGGGTGCTAGACGAGAAGTCTTCAAAGAAATTTAAGTGAGGATAATGTTTCTTTTGCCTAGTTATACCAGTAGATGAGATCTACGAAACCAGTTCCCCACGTGACCTGCAATGTGAGCGCAGATCATATAGAATGCTAGAAAAAAAATCCGGTAATGGTAGATTCAGGGACTCTGCAAGGCAATATGAACGCAGGGAACTATCTGCATAACGCTCCATAAATTAATTTTTGAGCTTCTTTTTTATTTTCAGTGGATTTGTAGTATCCAATGACGCATAACTGACTATAAACACAGCAGACAATGAATCATACTCATGAGTTCTCGAGTTAATCCGAGACCTCTCCCCCCATTAACGAACACTTACTGGTTAGTTCACTGGATGCATCTGACACTTAGCAGCAGGAAAGAGCGAGTGTCTCATCAAAATGAAACTTGTTTCTCACAGAGAATCGTGCCCAGGAGTCTGTAAGTGCGGTTTGGGCAGTTTTCCAGGGAGTAATATTTTTAGAGCGTTCCCAGATATGAAGCAATATTGAGTAGCAGAACAAGTAGAAAACGTAAAAGCTGATTATTGAAGCCCCTCTTCAATGATTTCATCTAAACGATTTCGGGAAAACGTTAGATTGGCATGAAAAACTAAATTAGAACACACTTCCCTGGAATGTCCCCCCTTATCTGAGCATTTCTAGTTAGCTCAAGCTCAATAGTTAAATGCATAGTACGCTAGGCACAAGAACTACATACGAAGGAGACTTTCACGGTGCAATCGATAGGACTAACAAGAATGTCTTCAAAGTACAACGGGAGTCACGAAATCTACACTTGACAACAATGAAGGATAACAAAATTCTAGTGGAGCTTCTTAAAGGCTAAGTTCACGATAAAAAGGATTTCTAACATTCTTCACAGGATGAATTTGAGGCCCCCGCATATACCATATCTGGAACTATTAGGTCGGAAAACGGCCTAGTTAGGGAAACATAAAGGTCCAGAGATTGGCCCATGCGTATCCTCGGACGAGTTTCACAGGCATTGAGAGGCTACACCGATCACAAGGGAACCCATGTAGGAAGTTCAAACAACTTGTCATGACCCACAGCGACAGTAAAAGACAGTTCTGTACTGTGGCTTGATGTAGTCAGCTCTTTGTGCCATTGCAATAACCAAAATCTCGTCCGAATACCTCTTTCATGTTATTTCCGTCATGTCAATCTCGTCCAACCTCAATTTTCCCTACTTTTGAGAAGCCATATTTTTCTCGAAATCGGCGAATTTTCTCACTTTCTTCACTACCGTTAAACTATTCCCAATCTATACTTCCGTTTAAGTGTTCGAATCCAGTTTACCCAAAGATATACTGCCTCGAGTCCCATCAGCTGCGCATTAGCTCGTGTGTTCTCCAGAATAAAAGATTTCGTTGCCTAAAGCTTCTTCTTAAATCGAGTTATCGCCTCTTGAAGGCAGTGGGCATGAAAACTTGTTACAGGTAAAAAAGATGAAAGGATTGTGGATAGCAGTCCATATGAATGAATAACGAACGAAATAAAATGAAATTTTCGAGGATCAGCGAAAAAAAATTCGAAATTTCTTAAATATTTGGGGCTGTCTTACAAATAGAATGTGAAAAGCGGCACTATTTACCCTTTACTGCCCCACTCTGTCGAGAAAGGGCTAGATTTTTATCGAATTTTTTCAAAGAAGATGAAACCGGCTAGAAACTCGCCTAGAGGGGTAATTTAATCCGTAGAACACGAATATCGCATCCACTCATCATGAAAACGCCTGGAACACTAGTTAGGGGCAAGTTTTCAGCAGGAGCGGTGGCCCAGCGATTTGGCGCAGGCGCCTGTAGCGCAAGCGCTAGGCATCTTTATGACAAATGGATGCAATATCCGTGTTCTACGGGTCAAATTACCCCTGTAGGCAAGTTTCTAGCCGGTTTCATCTTTTTTGAAAAAATTCGGTAGAAATCCACACCATTCTCGACAAGGTGGGGCAGCAAAGGGTAATTAGTGCCTGAAAAACTGGCTGTTCGAACATGGTCTGTCCCTTTTGCCTTTATCACATCTTTTTCGAATCAACTACGTGGCTGTGTTAACGCCATTTCACTGCCTCACTTACGATGTTACATTAGATTTGGAGACGATGCATGCGAGAGGATTCGGTCATGTCCGTCATTCATTACACCCCTACAGACACCCCTAACGTCCTTGACATCACTTCCCTTGTCAGCTTTGAAGCGTTCCCATTGCCCACATCGGCTCAGCCTACTACTGTGGGTGCACGCCCCCGCACATGCATGAACCAACGTACAAAATAGGACCCAATGTGCTTTTCTCGTAGCTTTAATGTCTCCTATAATATGTGATGGGCAGAAAGTAACATAGAAGGCTTCACTCCCTAACAAACTCTTTGTAGAATCCCGTACAACGCATTTCGAACAGATTCTCTTGTAGATGCGGCATGAATACGCCAAAAGCACTCGGGAAATAGCACTAACAAATGAGGTTGAATCTAGCTGTCAATGACTCCAGGCGCTCCCCGTACTTAAGAGGAAATCGGCCGCTTGATATAACAATTTGTAAGCAAATACAAATATAAAAGAAGTGACCCGCTCCGAACCGAGAGTCAACTAGTATTCGACCTGAACCCAGCGGTCAATCGCGAACTTGTCCAACTGATCCACGAAAAGTGGGAACCGTCAATTTAAAGAGAGCGTGGGAAAAATTTTGTAAGAGAGAGATCAATATTGACGATTGCTGAGTTAAAGCATTGTGGTGGAACACACTTGTCAGGAAGAAGTCGGATCACTTGACCAACGATACCACTGTTTGAACCACCTTTCGCCGAAATTCGAATGCGGGGGAAAGAATTAATGCGTTCAACGTCATAACACATATTTTAAACAGTAAATTGCCAAACTGCTTCCTCTCTAAGGGACTGTCTAGAAAGATTTGGTGGTTGAATGACAGATCTCTTATCAATACAATAAAATATATGTACATGTAACGCCGAGAGGAAGTAGGATAATGGGCATGCCACACGCATGGTTTGCGATCGAATCCCTGGTTTTTACCGTCCCTCCAGCATCGGTTAGTTGGATGTTGGAGGTGGTTGTACGTCTGGAACGATAAGAACACTGACTTGCACATCGGCTTGACACTGCAAGGTCAAAAAGCCACTTCGAAGAGGAATGGAAATCGAATGCGAGGGACGAGTACCAAACGGGACTTCGAGGGACTCGTGTAGTTCCAGTGAGTAGGTTGCCAAGGCCAGATAGGAGTCAAGAAGGAGGATAGCTATGATCTCAGGTATTCGGTACTTTACTTGAATATATTAATGAAACTTCTGGGTGAGGGAGTTCGTATACTCTAAACAGAGCCTCATGGGCACAAGTCTTGTACGATCCAGGAGCGACTAAAAGTTGCCTCTCGCCTGTGAAGTAGAAGTTTTTTGTTATTCGTGCATTGTTGTTTTTTGGTTATCGGAATGAGCTCTGCCTAACCGCTAATGAGGGCAATAATTAAGTGGCATCAGAATATCAGGAAAATCTATGAAATTTAAAAGGTCTGCGCTTGACATTGTTCAGCAATCGGTACAATTTGAGCCAAAGAGAAATGTGCTCCTGCCGCTACACTAAACCACGTTATAAGTTCATCATTTTCTCAGTCAAGCATGTAAGTCTCTAATTAAAAGTAGTTCTTTCCCCCTTCAAGTGTTTCATTTCAGGAAGTTCAGCTGGGTTGTTCTGCAGTCTATATCAGTCATCGGGGGCTCTTACTGCTGAGTTACGTCATCACAAGACATCTGCTCAATTAGTTGAACGTGGGACTATTTTACGTTAGACACAACACTTACTAATTGATGACCGCCCGGATGTTCGTGTTTTTCAGATTCGCCAAGTTGCGCTGCGGGTGTTAGCAGTTTCACCCCGACAAAATGCAGATGCGAGTGGTTCTGCATTCCGGGAACACGTAGTGATTGGACGCGGAAGTTGGTGTATTCAGGGACCATATACGTACATGCTTGACCTTTGCTCAAACAGCTAACGGAAGTGAAGTGATTGCTCCAGTCAAGCTCAGCGATTCAAGTAAATGTCGCTATATCTAGGCCCAAATGACCTCGATGACCTTTATTGGCTGGAGTATATTTCTGCATAAGAGGTCGTCAGCTTAAAGGCACAGTTCACGATAATTTTGAGGTACCCTTGTTAGGTAGAAAAGTGGAAATGTTGATGTAGAAAAGTACATCGGTGGCGAAGAAAACAAGAAAATCCGTCTGCTTCGAGGCTTTTTAAAAGTAGTGGAAGTAGGAGCTGTACGAGATCACTGCGACAGTAACGGCATGTAAGGGGTGTTTGAACAACAACTTGCTCCAATTGCCCGAAGAGAGGA